AAAATGTTGTGTTTCAATGGGGTTGCACAATGTTTGTCCCTTTGTATTTGGTATTGGAACCAATATTGAAAGGGAGGAAATTGCAAGGGTTTAAGCACTGAAGGTTGAGATTTTCCTTTGAGATTCAGAACATCTAAATTTTAGAAGACAGTACAGACAAATAGGTTTCCAGAGCATTCCCATCTATCCCATTCTTCTGAAATGTGGTATGATTACAGCATTTGATAGGGAGTGGAAACCAGCTGCAAACAGCAAGCCAAGTAAACACACAACTAGAGAAATTTCCTAAATAATTTCTACCTGGGACTCCCACAAGACTTCAAAGTAAAAATCAGCCTCTGACTGTAACTTGGACAAAGATATATCTGTTGGGATTGCAGAGAAGGGTAAAATTATCATTAAGTCCTGTGAAACATATCCCCTCTTCCTCGTGGTCCCATTACTGACATCACACTAATGTACCTGCGGTGGCACATTCCAATCCATAGCAACATCTTATAGTACCCTGGTAAGCAATAAGATACCTTTGCTATTTCTTGAAATGAAAAGGGAAGAAATTTTAAAAGAGGAGATGGTTTGCCAAAGCACAAACCTCATAAATTGAAAAGTGAATACAGGAAAAAATAATAATGAAGTATAAATCTGATACCTAAACATTCTCACATACCAAATATGATCCATTAGATAAGTTCTCCATTACAAAATGTTTACCTACATGAAATTACCTTCTGACAACTTCCTTAAATGAATCTTCTCCAGTATATCAATATCTAATTTTGTGATAATTCTGTTTCAAACAGTATTCCAGCATTCCATCTTGATTAGATTTCAATTTATCTACATGTGAACGCTTGTGCTGTTTACCTTTATAGATAAAATGACCCACATTTATTCATATTGTCTTCTATAGACATAATGTCAAGGAATAGATATACTTCTGCTACAAGACAAATACCCAGTTATAGATTTTTTACTTCTCTTATTTATTTTGACTTCACAGCCCTCAGTTACCACAGGTAGGATATACAACCGTTCTGTTTTAGTACTTAGGACTAAAAAGTCTTTGCTATTTTCAATCCTGAGTAATGTGAGGCTGAGTAAGTTTATTATCAAAATCATGCTGTAAGAGAGAAGATCAACTTCAGTAAACTGTTAGAAATCTAGACTTGAATGCTCTACTGCCTCAGGCATCAGCCCAAGATCCACTGCTAATTTGCAGGAGAAAGAGTATATACTACTTAAGCAAAAGGAGGATTTAATTAAAAGAAGTATTGAATTTGGTTGTTTCAAACTGGTGACTCTTTAAGATGGTAAATGAACCCCTTTCATCTCTTTCTTTTCCAAAAATTATTAAGCAACATTATAAGCATATTTGATTCACAGATAGCAGAGTTTTTCCAAATTACTTCTTGTTTTTGAAAGAAAGTGATCAAGGCCAAAGTGATCAAGGCCTATAAAATTACTTTCCATTACTCAAAAATATTTTGAACAGTAAACTGGCAATTAGGATTTGAGTAGATCACATTAAAAGTAAATAAAAAATCATTTCATATTGTTTAAGGAACAAGTAGTTTGAGCTTCAGGGAGCCTCAGATGAGGTCTTTTGATAAATGCATTAAAAGTGAAAATCATCATTTGGTCATTTAGCATCATTTTTTTTTTTTCAAATTGTGGTTCCAAAGAAGTTTCACTTCATCTTAGCAAAGACTAGCAAGTAGAACTCAAATTCAACATAGTTTGTTATTTCTGAGCAGTCTCTCATTTTTAGGCAATTGAATTTGATACCATTCTTTTAATGAAGAAAGAAAAATGGAAATTAAAGAGAGAAGAAAGCATGTTCATTGCAAATAGAATTCCAGTTATTGTGATTCAGAACCACCACTATTATTTTAACTACAATTAAAGTTTGAGCAGTGGGAAAATAGAGATATAAAACTTTTCAGTGCTGGTAAAAATGTAATATGGCATGTTCATTTCTCTATGACTTGAGTGTTACAATTTCTGATCTTCATAATTAGCATCATAGCCACTCAGAATGTAAAAATCATTTGGTTGCTTTTCTTTCTAGTGAAAACTTTCAAATTAAGTGTAAGGATGTGGGGTAGGTACTGTTATCAAAGTGAAACTTTCAAGCCTTTACATTCTCAAAAATCTTTATTTGATGGTTTGTCTGGAACAAGATAGCATAAGAAAGCAAATCTAATAACCAAAGCTGTGTCTTGCCATTTTTAGGCAGTAAAGAAATCTGGAGAACAATGGGAATGAAAGCAAAACGCCAAGATCTGGAGTTAGGAAACTGCATACAAGAAATTAGTTTTGAATATATATCATATAAAAATTCCACTTATACTGATGTCAAATGTATGATTTTAAAGTGCTGTGAGCTGAGTTCACATTTTTGAATTGATGCCTAAAATACAGTTCCAAATATTTTAACACTCCTCCCTTCCCTCAAAAAAAGGCAATATATCCAGCTTTTATTTCAAAGCAGAAGAGCTAGAGGGAAAAGCTGGTAGCATAAGTTGTGGGTTTTTTCTTTATTGGCTGAATTCTTTGCCCCCCTAAATTGTGGGACACAGCAGTAAAATGGAAAGAGGTAGGGAAAGAATATTACACCTGCATGCTGTTGATGCAGGTGCAACCTGCTTCACCCACCATCTGTACTGCAGTGTGTTAATAGTCACAGACTCAGCTCTTCTGGAGTAAGCACCTTATTCCATTACACTACTCTTCTGGGAATACACTGCTCTAATCTGTAAAAAAAAAATATTTCCAATCTCGTTAGCGATCATCAAACACCTCCTTAGTTCAGGTGGGTAAATGTTTGCAATCATAGGAAAATCCTGCTAAGTGAAGTCAACATGGAGTTCATTTAAAATTAAACTTGAAAAAACAAAGGCAGGTGTGAATATTTGAGGTGTCTGAATGATTTGATTGCACTACAGCTCAACAGCATGATCTTTCTAGTACCGTAAAATCTTTAGGCCATTGTGAGACTCAGTCAATGTACTGATACATAAAAGGTCTCACTAACACCCCCGAGTATCAGCCAGCACAATCAAAGCACAATCAAATCAGAATGCAGCTGTCAGTCTAAAGGCTTATCAGATGGGGAAAGGTCCCGCAGGTATTCATCCCTCCCAGAGAATATTCTTCCTACCTTCCTCTTCCATAATAAGCCAAACGAGGATGATTGCAGCTGTAATCAGGAGCTGGGAAGACTCTTGTCTCCTTTCAACTCAGTAAAACTGTCGTCCTCTACAAATTCAAAGTAACACAAAAATAGCAAAAGATTCTTTCCTTAAAAATCCTTATATACTTACCATCCAAGTGTTTTAAGTGGAGGTTCTATAAGCAAGTTTCCAAAGCTTAATGGTATTAAATAATTCTTATAATATATTTAAAAAATGAATGAAAAAGCCCCGATTACTGGCATACTAAGTAATTGTAAGAATAGGCCAATATTATATTTAATAAGCTGCTCTTATCTAAACATGACAACAAGCAGAAATTGAAGGTCACACATAAAAATGACCGTATTTTGAAAAGTAATGCCTAAGAAAAAAGCTGAAAGATTACAAGAAAAAAAATAACCGAAAATTAGTTCAATGTACAACGCAGTGCCCACAAGCAGTAAGGCAACATGGATTTCCAAGTCAAATTACAATGCTGTTGTTGCAAACTTCATCTTAAAACATTCACAGCCTGGATAGATGAACCCCTAGCCTTGGATAAATGCAAGGTGTTTTATTTTTGAGCTCCCTTGCTTTATGCACACTGCCTGAAGTCGTTTATACCTGGATTTAAATCTAACTTCAACATTAATACATCTTGTGCTATTTCGTCCTGTCTTGTCTAATGCAATCAACAGCATGGGTCTTTTATCATTGTCACTTCGTCTCCAGCACGCAGGAGCTGCTCAGCAAACAGGCTTCTGGAAACTTGCTTATTGTGTATCACCTCTGACTTTAGCTTCTCATAAAGCAGAGAGACAGTGTAAATTTGCAAGATTTTTTTATTTGTATATTTATCGCCAAAATATATCAACATCACCACTGCAATTTCCATACTTCCTGTGATTTACAGATTGATATAAGGTCAAAGAGTGACTCTTAAAAGAGGTAACTAACACAAACAGTTCTGTCCATGTTGGATAATTATTCTATTCCTACATCAGTCATCTATAGAAAGTTTATACCAAAAGGTTATGGCACATTGTCATCACTGTAGGATATTAGAATAGAATCAGTTCCTTATAGACAAACTTAAATACACTAAAAATGTGCATCAGAATTCAAAGTCATCATTTAAACACCTCAGGAGAAATCCTGGATCTACTTAAAGTCAATGTCAAAACTCTGACTGACCTCGGGATAAGTTAGATCCTGTCCCTTATTGGTGCCTTTATTCACTTTTGCCAACCATATGACAAATTATTAATAAATACACAGGGTATTACTTAGTCTCTACAGAGATGGTAAGAACCAGAAAAGAAGCTTTTCAAATACATTATACATGAATCAAGCTGTTATCTTTTGAACAATTTGTTCAATGAGTTGGCATTCAACCAAATAGAGAGATGGTCAAATACTGCAAAAGACTATTCTTGAATAATTTATTTAATGAATAACAGCTACTTTGGGAGGATAATATATTCTGTGAGTAATATTCAGCAGCTTACAGCCAAAAGTGTTTTATCCAACATTAATTACTGTTGTTTTGTTTTGGGGAAGCACAGAGGTATTGTAAGGTTTTGTTTGTTTTGCTTTGATCTTCCATCACTGCACAGTTACCAGCACTCATGCTAGAGTACACAAATAACAGCCACCTGACTTCTGTTGAATTATGGTTTCACATTGCTTCAGCATGTAGGATTTGTTAACTTTCATCTAAAGAATTGAAGTGACACTGTAACACTCTGTGTATCACCTATTCAAGCAGTAAGATTTATGAGATAGAAAAAAAAAAAGAGAAAGAAAAAAATAGGAAAAAACCTCCAGCCTTCAAGCAGCTTGAATATAGCTAATGTTGCCATACTCATGCTTCCTTCAACAACTGTCTATTAAATCCATATTATGATTTTCTAAAAGTGTTGATTTTTTTTATAAAAAACCTGTATTAACTAATTTACACAAACAGCTGTTATGTTCAATTTCCTATCCTAGAGGAATTCCATTCTTGACAAAAAAGCATGGAAATAAGCTGTGTGTACTTTTGAACACTATTTCCTCCCTTGGAGAAAGTTTAAGCAAACATTCACATCTCTAAGTCAGAGTTATGCTGTTGGCAATTCCCCAGTATTATTGCATCCATGCCCTTGAGAACTCTTCTCCACCAGACACAGGCAAGAATTTTGTGATTCCCATAACTAAGATGTACCCCAAGCCTCTCATTCCAGCCTTCTTTCTGAGCCTCACAGGCAGCCTTAAAGCACTTAGCTTCTCACACAAAGACTTTAACCCATGATACAGTACTACTCTCAAAACACGAAGAGTTTATCAAAACCATAAGGAAACTGCAGGAAAATGTGAGGAAAAACAATACAGGAGTATAAGTATACATAGTTTGGGTTTTTTGGTGTTTTTAAAGTAGTTTGTTCTGGATAGCTGTAGGAGAACCATGTGTAATGAGGTACTGGCATAATTTCTGTCCCATGCTATATATGCAATACTTTCCAGACTGAGTGCATACATCACGTCTCCTGGTCTCAGGGTGGAAACATAATATGTGCCTATGAGGATGCTCATGGGTACATCAGCACCGGCCACAAGGAATATTACATTTTTAATAAAAGATAACTTGTGATTTGGAAATCTGACTTCTCTGCTGCAGCAGAAAGCTAAGCCTACTTTGATGTCTCTCCAAGTGAGCAAGTCCACAGGGAAGGTCAGAGTCAGTTGCAGAGGTGCTGTCCCTGTCCTACCTGGGTTTGCAGCCACTTCCCTTTGCTGGGGAGGGGGAAAACCAAGAGCTGCTGCCTCCCCTCACTGGAAAGGATCCTCATCCAGCTGTTCTCTAATGAACCACGGAGTCACAGCCCATCACCATATCACTACAGCTTCCCTGCTGCCACCAGAGATGATCCATCTTCACTCTGCCTCTGGTGGGCAAGTTGCAGTTTCAGCTGTGACTTTCAGCACCACCAGTCATCTGCGGCATGAGCTGGATCCCCTGGCAGGGGAGGAGAGGAAGAAAACCATCAGCAAGGCACAAGCTGAGATGGTGTCTCACTTCCCCCGCCACTGCTCAGGTCAAATGAAGCTTGTGACACACCAAATAGACTTCTAGCTGCAGAGGTGTGGTGGATCTGGCAGTGTTACTCTGCAGCTGAAATTCTTTTTCAGTATGAGACTTGCTGGATTTTTTCATAGCATTGATTCATCCTTCACATGATTTAAAAACAAAACAAAACAAAACAAAACCAACAAACAAACAAACAAAGCCACAACGATTTGGCCTGTAATAAATCAGCGGAAAAATCAATTTATATTCTTAGCACAAACGCATGTATATGCATTATGATATTATTCAATATCTGTAAGCTTTAAAGCTTTTCAATAACCTAATTACAGGCTTCACTTATTATCTTAAGTGACATAATTATTTTTTGTTAGGTTAGAAAGTTTTCGCAAAATACAACTTACAGCTTTGAAGTAATGTAAGTAATTTTTTCACTTTTAGTACATTTTCAAATTGATTGGCTCAGTACCTTATGTGCAAATGGAATCTAAAATTTGTAGTACAAAATATTATTCAAAGGCTTTTTAGATATTCGAAAGAAAAACTATTTTAAATGAGCTCTTGGAAAATATGCATTATGGTCCATTCTTCAATCATACCAGTTTATGGTTACTTTTTTTTTCCTGACAGACTACTATCTCTTTCAGTGTGCTGATTAAATATAGAAGGTACTAAGTAGTGTGTAAAGTATTGCATTTTTAATGAAAATACAGTCTTGAATTTGTCATGTGGAAAAAATAAAAAATGACAAACTAAATGTTGTTATTTAAAATAGCCCTTATGAGTTTTATTTTTCATCACTAGAGTGCCCTGATCTTGTATCCAAGTTGCACATTAAACTATGATTGTCTGATTTTTATTATCATTAAAGGGAAAATAAAAATATATGTAATGTATTTCCATCACAATCCTCAGATTAAATGTTTCTTTTTGAGAGAAATTATCAAACTTGTGCTTAGAAAGATTACTTTTCCATATAGCACATTTTTTTATCCCAGATCAATATATATTAGCTATCAAATGAATTGCGTTTCAGTAAATAAATCAACACAACTTGCCCATGAAAGAATAATTTAGAACAAAGATGGCAAAGTGATTAATTTTTAGGTTTTCACAGATAACTTGTTTATGAAGAAGTAAATCTAACTAAATAAACAGCAAAGCCTTGGAAAGGAGAAAATTACTGAGAAATTGTCTAGAGACAGGCAAATTAGTTAAAATCACATTAAATCCACTGTTTTGTTTAGTCCTATGTGTGAGCTGGGCATCTCCTCTTCAGGAATAGTTAGTCTAAATGATTTTGATATTTGACAGGAGAAACTGTTACTATCTTATTTTGCAAAAACCTTTGAAATAAATAACCTCAAAGCAATGTCTGTCTAATTTCCTTTACCCCCAAGACTGAAATGTCAATAATGTCATTGCAAACTGTAGAAGAAGTGATCTTCCCCATAGAAAGTAAAGATGGAGAGATTTGAAAAAGTTGTCTTTTCTTGATGCTAAATTATTGCTTCTTGTTACCTTACAGTGGTTTGATTCTGGAAAGGGATGAGAAAACAATTTGAGATAAAGTCTAAGTTCTGGATTTGAGTTTGGTGAAGGGAGATTGGAACAACGAGTTTCATAATTTAGAGACAACATAATGAACTCTTTAAAATGCTTTTATATTTAAATGAGTTTATATAAGAAATAATTAAAATGCATAAATTTATTATTTCTCAAAGATTATATAGAATTATTTATGGATTTTTTTTGAATACTAAATATATTCTGTAGTCTGTGAAACAACTGAGTGCAATATACAATGAATGAAATTGTTGTATATTTTTCCTTTTTCCTGAAATTAACAAAAAGTTTACTTTAGGTTCATATTTTTTTTCTTATTATGTGGTCCTGTGTTTCAGATACTATCTACTGAACTTATGTATTTTCACAACAGAATTCTCCTTTGGGGATTAGTCAATTGTATGATATGAATCACAAGTCACAAATATATCAAATTAATTTTCTAAAATTTGGGGACAAAAAGACATTTTCATTATGGAAATAGATGAAATAAGAAAAAATTAACAGAATCTGATCATTAGAATTTCTGATTAAGTTTGCCTTCTCTCTTGAGGCTGGGCCCAACAGCTCTCTCATGCTAAATAACCAGAGAAAACAGCTGGAAATATGTGATTTTGATTTCTTCACACCAGCTGCCTAAATTGAAAGGCTGATCACCAGAGGTGGATGAAGACTCCAAGGGTGCACTGGGGGCAGAAATGGACCACCAAGAGCCTTTAAAAACCAAAGGAACTGGTATAAAACAGACTAAACAATATGTGATCTTACCCTCTCCCTCTTTCTTTCTAAGTGAGAGGAAGAAGAATCAGGAGTCATTCCCTTGTTTCTTTTTGAAAAACAGAAGGACTTCAAACCAAAACATCTTTTCAAGCTTCTTGGTTTTTTAAATAGCCTAACTATGAGTTGCCTAAATATTTTTATTTCTGGTGAGTTGATTTATTTATTCTATTTCAGCAGAAAAAAATATAATTTATTTTATTTTTTAATGTTTCATAACTCCAAACATCAGGACAATTTTGGATATTCCATAAAAAAAATCTGATTATTTCACCCACTAACATCAATTAGTGAATGGTCTTATTTCAACGTGATATTTTATAAAAGTTTAAAATCTAGTCACTAAAAAGTGCTGACTTTTCAAACACGATTTTTGTTGTCCTAATTCAATATCAAATTCCTAGTTTACTTTAAGGGCACCCTAACTTCAGTCTCCATTCTGTGTTCAAAAATATGAATGCAAACAGTTTCATATTCCTCGTTAACCTACCGAACCCATTTTCTTAATGATCAATTAAATCTTTTCACATGGAATTGGCAATAGATTTGTTTATTTACTGCTACAGAGAGCAGGTTTCAAGGATTTTTTCCATAAATATTGAAAAATACCTCAAGTTTTGACAAAAAAAAACGTGGGGAGAGGGATTAAAAAACCCCAACTGTATGGGGTAGAGTGATATACCAATAATAACAACAATAAGAGAACATACTGTCTGTTATATGCAGAACTAATGATGTGGATTCACGCTTGTGAAAGTATCTTCAAGTGGTGCTTACAACTTTCTTTTATCAAAGATGCTGGTCAATACTCTATGGCTTCTCTGAGCTTATTTGCTCTGATCAAAGTATGGAATATAAAAGATTAAAGTCTCCTACTAATTATATGCCTGAAGGCACATTAACAATGTAACTGTCAAAGCTTTGCTGAAAATTCATTTCGCATTTTTAATAAAAACTGATAGCAAGGCTTTGAATGCATCTAAGTGGAAAAAAAGTAATTTTTGTTTCAGCAGCTTCCTTATGAGGAAAGTGTAGAAGCCCTGAAACCTCCCAAACACAGTGAATAGGCAATTTGTGCTCTGAAAATGGACTTCTAGAAATCTTCCTGTCAAACAATTCACAGCAAGTTTCTCCTTAATAACTCCTGATGGTACCAAAAAATAACTCAGTACTGAAAACCAACACTACATTTTTGATCAAAACCATCAATTTCAAAACTTTAAACAATCAAATATTCAAAATGTTCCTCTTAGCTGTATGAGACAGAACACAACTATTATCAATTTTAAAACTGTTAGATTTTTTAAATGCCTGAAATCTCTCCCTTGTGATTCTACAATACTTTTTTTTTTGGACATATCTCTTCTCCCTTCCTGGAGCAGCCAGTAATTTCCTTAACTGCATGGTGTGAAATAAAAGCTTTCTATAGAGTTCCTGAAAACCTCTGTAGTGTAATAGGATCCTGTGGAACTTGGACACACCAAGGTTAGAATATTGCAACGATGTTTTGCCTTCTGCCATAGCTCTTATATATTGTGATTGCCTATCAGCTTGTGCTGTGTTTTCAGGGAAATGGGATCATTGGACCTTGCCATCAGTGAAATGAGAGCTTCATGTCTCAAAGTCAGCCATGCCAGGGATGCCAGCTCCATATTCTCTGTCAGCATGGAGTAAAAAATCATCCAAGGTGTAAGACAAGATACATGTCTTACATGTCACAATACTGTGACATTCCTTGTTGAAAACATCCCAAGAAATTAAGCCAAGTTAGAGATGTCACACAAATTCTAGTAAAATTTCCCATTAGCTCTAGCTGTACTACATCTGTAAATAACTAAATGACAGTGGTAAAGTTTATATTTTGAGTCATAAGTAGAGTCCTTTTGGATACGTAGTAAGGTAAACCTTGAGTTTCCAAGATTATGAATATTTTAGCAAGCTTTTTCTATCAGTATTTGTTATCTGCATGTGAATGCATTAATCCCAAGTGACTTGGGATAATTTGCTTCTTTGACTTTAACAAGAATTTATTCTAAACATATTAATGTTGAAAGGTAATTATGTGTCCTCTAAAGGTGGTAATTTATGACTGACCTATGAAAACTATCCAGAACAGTAACACACAAAGAAATTTTGTTATGTTTGCTTGTAATGGATGTTCAGACATTGCTGAACAACATGAAGATCTTAGAATTGCTCTTATATCACACAGAAGAATAAACAGCTTAATTAATTTGCTTTGTGAACACTCATGGTAAAATCTGGAAAATAATAGAAAAAGTTAAAGAAGAAAGAAAGAGAAAGAAAGAAAGAAAGAAAGAAGGAAAGAAGAAAGAAAGAAAGAAAGAAAGAAAGAGAAAGAAAGAAAGAAAGAAAAAGAAAGAAAGAAAAAGAAAGAAAGAAAGAAAGAAAGAAAGCAATTATGTGCCCTATTATCAAGTCTTTGATGATGTTTTTTCCGACCCAGCCGCCTCTGTGATGAACCTCAACAACAGTTTAACAGTTTTTTAAAAAGACTTATTATTTTATTCAGGGGGAAAGTAAAACTATTTTCAACAGTCTCCTGCATCTTTCATTTTGAGAGGTAGAATAAGAAAAGGCAGAAAAATAGTAAGAAAAAAAGCAGATGTTTTCTTATTTAAGAGTTATGTACTAAAAATGCCCCTCAAGGGAATCACCAGCTCTACCACTTTTGTCAAGCACTGTCACAGAGCCAAAGTGCACCTCAACATGTCTAATCAGCCTGAAGCCTAGGAAACTGAGAAAATCACTTTACACTTTCCTTCCACAAATCTCCTCAGATGTGACAAAACAAAGGAGGGAGGGGAGAGTGTGGAGGGGAGCAGTGAAGCCACAAGAAAAAATCAAAATGATGACTCTCTTTAAGTCAGCACACTGACATGCTTTTTCTTCAGATGGCTTAAGAAAAAAAACGACTCTCATATTTAGCAAAACCAGACAATGTCAAGCCTGACAAAACTTTTGAAAAATGAATTAATTTTATAGAATAAACCATTTTTTAGTGTCCTTGAATAAAATCTTGCATGCAACATTCCTTCCCATGCAACACTCAGAGGAGGAACAGAGGGACTAATGACACAGTAGTCTCCCCTTTGACCAAAAATCTAGATTCTTCTATATAGCCATAAAACAAAACAATAAATACCTGACAGGATGACCCAAGATGTTTATGTGGCTGAGATTTTGCCAGAAGCATATATCTAAATCACAGTTTCTATTAAAAAAATTACAAACAAACTTGTTACTCTGCAACAACAATTCAGCTTTCTCGAGTTTTACCAGGACGTTTATCATCAACCTTTTTCATTCCCTGTGAGGTCAAACTGTGGTATTAACATTTATCATTCTATTTAGTTCAAATGACCAAGACTAAGGTAAGCAGCAAACAGATGGAAGTTGAGGTGTACGGGATCTAGAATATGTGTTTGCTTTCATCTGATTATATGACTTTTAAACACTGAGAATGAGAATATTAAGGAAAGAATTCTCTTGCAACAAAATACAGTTGAGGTACCTTTCCAGGCTCCTCACACCACTGAAAGTGTGTTTACTCAAGTGACTCAAGCTGACAGTGAACAAGAAGCAATGGGATCATCCACATTGCAGTGTGACATAGTTGGCATGTCATACACTGCCATTGATTAGCTAAGACTCATTTCACATGAAAAATTACTGGAGCATTAGTGGGAAAATGTTAACAATTATTTTCCTGGAAAAATATTTGTAAAAAGAATCTTAATGAAGGAAGACACCATCAAGAAACAACAGGTAGAAAGCCCCATGGCACCATATGAAGTTGAGCTTGAAGACCTATAACTGAGGATCACTGGTCAGGGAAATTAATAATATTCTCCTATGCAACTCTACACTTTTTCACAGGAATAATTCCACCCCAACAGCACATTCTGCTCAGGACCCCATGCTGTCTGAGACATATATGGTGTTCTGCAGTCCACTTTCTCAACTTGCCTCAAAATATTCCTCTCCATACTCACCAAGTTTTAAAGGCATATTTCGATAGGAGTTGCACACTGCAATGATAAGTGACTTGAATAAGATACAGTTTTAGGTGTGTAAGTCAATATTTCTTAATGCAGTTACAAATTCTGTGTATTTTGACAGTAAACACAGTACCATGAAAGCCAACATATTTGATAATACCATACAAAAAAGTTATTTGATCAACTAATTAAACAGCAGTTAATATTAGTACTGCAATTTCAATTGTAGCCTAGTATATTATTATTGATTTGTATAGTAAAAAATATTTCACAGAATATTATAAACAGCATGTAATTTTGTATGTGAAACAAACAGGGATGGAAAACAGTAAATTAAGTTACAACACTATTGAATAAGACAACTGGATTTTAGATTTCACCTTGAGAAAACAAGTTTCTGATATATCAATATATATTTTGTACTATTCTGCTTTCTTGAATTATTATTTCACACTTTACAGAAAAACAGGGTATTTGCATAAGGCACCTAAAGGAGGGACAGTTAAGGTAAAATTCAGGAATTTAGGAACTCTTCAATTATGCAACATTTATACTAAAATTTTTGTCTCAGCGTGGACTGAGATTTTAAATGGTTTTGATTTAGACACTAAAGTTCAGCAGGGAGATAATTCACTAAATTCACTGAAAAGAATATTGACAAATTTTACTCCTTTCTAGTTCTATATTTCTGGCTTCTGTAAAATGCAGGAAATACTAATAAAAATATATTCTCATGTTATTAAATTTTAAGGGGAAAAAAATGAAATATTTTGGAGTAAGCCTTCAAGTTCCCAATCTTTGTTTCTCTTCTAATTTTCAGTATTGTGAAGTCTTAATGAATCTCTCAAAGTCTCTATCTTACAATTGCTGAAAATTCTTGTCTGTTTTTTTGTGGAACTATCATGCTTGGGATGTACAATGTGCTGCTAATAACAACTCCATTAGGGTTTATTTGAGATAATAATTGTGGAACAAAAATGATAAAATGCAGACAGAATCTTAGCTCTAATAACTCAGAAGTTCAACCAGAATTAAGAATTCAGAAGTTCAGCCTGCATGTTTCTCTGACTATCAAAGTAAATTTGGGGCTCAATATAATGAGGCAAACTTTGAATTACGTCCTACACCCGTGTGAACTGCTGTACTGATACTTCTGCCAATTTGCATAGTGCTAATATTTTAGTTTCAGAACAAGAAGGGTTTTTTTTTTAAAATGTGTAGACCGCAAAAATAAAGATGACTATGACTGAATGCATCAATTTGTATTTCCTAATTCTCCTGGTCTTCTTATTTAAAAATTGCTTATATAATTGAAGCTGATTTTGGAATCACTGAAGTGAAATTACCATGGTAGCAGTTTGCAAAGGCCCTGAAACCAACAAAAACGTTTTCCTGCTTGTGTTAAAGCTCAAGGAGAGCAGTAGCAATAACAATCACACCTGCAAATGATCTATTCAATCATCTTGTCTATCTGGTTTGGGTACAGTATCTCCATCTCTGTTTTACACAGAACCTTCCCTGGAGATTGTGTCTGCCCTGTATAATTTTAGGCAAAATTCAAGTAAATCTTGAGTGTTATTTTGAACATAGGTCACTAAGCCAATGGCTCATCCCACTCAGCTGGCACTAGTTCATTAAGATACATCAGCTGGGAAGGGACACAAGAATTATCTGTGTTTTAAACATTAATAGCAACACTACATTATTCAAATAAGAAAAAAGAGCTTAAACACGTCAGCTAAGTGGTTTACTGCAGCTATAATATGCTCTGCAAGGGCACTGGATATACTCTCAAATTGTTTATTTTAATTCAATTCCCCAGAAGATCCCTGGTGTCTGAATGTAAAGATTGATGTTGTTCTGTTGCATGTTTTGCCCTTTCCGATAAAAACAGTGCTGTAGAAACTCCTGGATGTCCAGGCTGTTACTCACTGCTGGCCATGCTGGCACCCTGTTTGGCATAGGATGATGCTACACAACGTCCAAGCTTCAAAACACCTAAATCTGAATGTATGTTTGAGGTACCTCCGAGGAGTAAATAAAGCAGAAGGTTTATTTTCTGGAATGTATGTGTGAGAAGTCCAGGTGGTCAGGGCAGAGGGCTGTTTCCACCACTCTCCGTGCTGGGTAGAAGAGGGAAGGGAGCAGAGGAGTCAGCCCCCCTTCCACCATCTGTCATTGAAGTAAATAGATTTGGAGCTGTTAAAGCTTTTTTATTTTTTTAAATTTATTTACTTTTTAATAGAAAACATATGAAATTAACTTATTAAAACATAGATAAGGCTTTATGAGCAATTTTTAAAAACTAATTAAACTGCAAAACATTTTTAAACATAAATGAAAGCTGAGGATGTCTGCCTTGTACAAGTGTACAAGGTTGTAGCAACATATACTTCAGAAAAAAACAATGTTTGACACAAGAACTGCTTCATCTCCCTGTAACTACCTCATCATCATTTCAAGGTTAAGGATGTGATCTCAAGCACATGCTTTATGCAGCCCAAGAAAAAGGATTCATCTACATGGTTTGCAATGAAGGCTGTACCTGGTTTCCCTGTTGACTGCACATTGTGTTCTCTTGAAAGGGTGGGATGAAATGTCCGTCTGCCTTTCCCAAGGCTGCTGCATCCCAAGCCTGGTGCACCCTCCAGTAGCAGGGGCCATTTGCCCCTTTCCCATACGTAGATAGAGGCTGGATATGAATATTTGGTAAAATATCTGCTTCATGTATTTTCAATGGTATACTACCTCCAATCTAATTAAAGGTTTCCTAAAGTATTTGGTTAGTCTTTGGTTACTAACTTTGGTTACTAACCCATTCCTTGATTTTCAAGGCAGCTCTGGAAATAGGTTAGAAATAGTGGACAAAGTAAAAGGTGGTTTAGAAGCAAATTATCTTTGACAATTTACCATTGTTTGCTGTTGTTAGCATAGTACTAGCATAAGTAATGAAGACACTGTTCTTTCTGGGAATTATTGAAAAATAAGACTATATATAACTATATATAACTATATATAACTTCTAATAGTTAATTGCCTTCTCACATATCACCTAACAGATCAAAATTTGATCTAGATAATTCAGAATTTGGTTTTTTTCTGTTTATGGAAGGAAACAATTTAAAATCAGTTTTCCTGCTCTATCAAAGGAGATACAGAACTATCAGAACAGACAGTTCTATAGGGGTATGTCACCACATCACTACAATAATTTTGTTGAAAGCCTTTAAAATCTTCTTCAGCTGTGGGAACCTACCTTTGCAAAATTGAGGTAGATTGCTTAGGTGCAATCTGATGTTCTTTAGTGATTATGAAGATGAGGATGGTGAAAACAAAACTCAGTTCCTGGTTACTGCTTTGCTTTTCTTCCCCTGATATACAATAGTCCACAGAAAGTATTTTAAAGAGATCCCTGCAAAACAGAAACATGGGGAAGGACTGTGATGGGGAGATGTAAGTTAATTCTCACAGGTCTTACTTCACATACAGAAGAAAATAACTTTACCTTGTAATCTTTATGAAAAATTGTTGGTTTCCAATAAATCATAACCATTACTTTCATCTAGAAAACTCCTCTACTTATATTTGTGTTATATGGGTCTATATAATCACAGGTTGCTTGAGGAATCTGCTTAGCATTCCCCCCACAACATTCCTGTACTACGAGCATTTTGAATTAATTATGACAGACATTAAATCACATCTTATAGTCCAAATGAAAATGGCATTTTCATTCAGTAAATAGATTTGGAGCTGTTAAAGCTTTTTTATTTTTTTAAATTTATTTAATTTTTAATAAAAAACTTATAAAATTAACTTAGTAAAATATAGATAGGGCTTTATGAGCAATTTTAAAAAACTCATTAGACTGCAAAATATTTTTAAACATAAATGAAAGCTGAGGATGTCTGACTTGTACAAGTGTACAAGGCTGTAGCAACACATACTTCAGAAAAAACAGTGTTTAACATTCTTTAAACCATTGCCATTCATGAAAAAAGACAAGTTTCATCTTTTCTTCCAGAGTGATGTGATCAGCCCACCTTAAAAGGATCCTTTGTGCTTCCAAAATACATACAACTATTATACTACTTTGAAATCTCAAATATTTCAGTAGGAATCTTCTGTTAGCATTCATATCTCTAAAAAATACAGCTCCACCCTGGTACTTTTTTATGTGTCACTCAGCTATAGTGGTTGACTTTTAGCAGAAAAAAATTTTCAAGATTAATTTTGGTATTAGTAGGTTTTACTGCATTATTTCATCTTATTTCTCATAATAATAATAATAATAATAATAATAATTTACAATCAAAGACATCTCACATTTCACTATATATCTGTGGAGGACAATAACAGTGTTAAATATTTTCTAGTAACACAGGCACACTATTGCTCTCCATAAATGTCTGTAGAAAGCTAGTAAGTGGTACTTATTGAAAAATGTTTTTAGATTTTTATACTGTCATTTTGGAAGGATATGGAATGTTTCTTCTATTTTCTTTCCTTTCTATTTTGTACAAAATGGTCTACTAAACTGACAGGTTTAGGAATGGGCTTCTTACCTGTCTTGAATGGTCCCATAGGTATTTCCTGCCTTGGAAACCTTAAGAAATACCTTGATAACATCCTTTTGCCAGACTGTTTTAAATTATTCTCTCCTGCTTTAAAGAAAAAAACAACAAAAAAAAAAAACCCTAAAAAGTTCCATAAAAATCTTTAGCTTGTTTCAGGAGAGGTTATGGCATCGCTTTGCATCACTGCTACAAGAGCTTTCCGTTCAGCTTGCAAATCCAGTGACATTTTTCCCCAAGAAAGGAGTCAGGCCACAGGGCGCTTCTGTAAGGAAAGTCTCAAACTCCCAAGCACAGCATCCACCTTTACAGTCTCCATAAAGAACTGGAGGAAAGCAGACCCTTCAAAAGAGAGCAGCGAGCTCTGATCAGTTCCTTTGAAGAATGGTTGCAGCTGCCCTGTGCTTGAGGAGGTAACTCTGGATGGGGGATCCTGTGGAGCCTGGGTCCTGCAGTCTAAGTCCCGGAAAGACAGACCCACAAAAGCAGCTACTGCTTAGTCCTTGTCCTCCAATGTACCTTTTTGCTGTTCTCTGTCTCTCAGCAGTGAAACCCTTTGTAACTTGAGGGTTTTTTCAATCATTTTTCCATGAAGCTTTTGGATGGTCATAGAAGAGCTAAAACACACACTTCACTTACCCTTTCTTTTTTTGTTTGGTTTGGTTTTTTGGATCCAAATTAAAGACTACAAAAGCACGAGACAAACCCTGTTCTATCAAAAAACTGGCGCCCACCCTCACATGGGTCAGACTATTCACCATTTTGAATTATGAGAATAGCTGTGCGTGCCATAAGGCTCGCACCAAGCAATACCCTTGAATCCTACAATCTTTGTTCTTTCACACTTGGATTATCACAGTTCTTTGGTTCTCTGCTGCAGGATCATGACATGACATTTTAACACGCATAGTCTGCTTCCGGCATTTTAATTGGTTTAAAGCCGTTGGTAGCATCTTCTACTGTATTAATTTATTGCTTCAGCGTTAGTCAACTGAAACCTTTGCCAGATGGCACTACAGCCCCTGAATACTGACGAGGAGAAAGAAAATATTTATATGATGCAAATGTTTGCTCGTTCATTAAGTATTCATGAATTGGTTTCTTAGAGTTTGTTTTTGTGGATTTTTTTCTCCCTTTTTCTTTGAGCTGCATTGCAAAAGGAGCCTAAAGGTTCAGATTTACATCTCATGGTAGCAAAATTATTAATAATCTAGCTCCCTGTTATCTGCCCAAAAATACTTTGAAAATTTAGCTCAACATTTTTCCTATCTACATTGAATGGCAAGAGAAGTATTCTGAAACTTCCAGCAGTTTTATTGTGTGGCTTTCCTCTCCCAGCGCCAAAGGAGCAATGGGGAAGAATAAGTAGAGATGACCTTCTTGCTTCACTTCTAAGTACAGGCTTCTCTGCAGAACTCTTTAACACTAGTCCCAAATAAACCAGAGCGCATTAAAAATTGATGCTTAAGTGCGTTATCTCATGAAATTTGCTCCCTTCAATACTGATGGGGCCTTGGGGAAGTCACCTGCAGCCAGTCCTATTTCTAATCACAGCTCTATCTATAGTGTTCAGAAATCACTTGAGTCAAACCCCTGTGTTTTTACAATACTCTATTTCTGATAAAGGCAGCAAGAGAATTAAATACACAGACAGAAAAAGAATTTGGGATATGCAATGACTTACATTGATTACAGCTGAAAGTACCTTTGTTGGTCTGGTCATTCCAGACACAGGGGTAAAGCAGGTTTCCTTTTTTTTTCCTGCCTTGACCATTAATTTGCTGACTGTCTTGTAAAAAAAAAACCTTTACTGTGTAGTATGTAACTTAAAAAAACACCCTGAGTTCAAACTTCCTCTTGAGTCTGAACTTTCAAAATCCATGGCTTTTTGCTGTGGCTATTTGCTAATCACAGCATGTCAGATCTACAATACTTGGCAAACTGTAACTTTAGTTTTCTGATCCTCAGTCTTGACTAAGCTTCCTCAGAAAGTCTAACTCTATGATCTAAACTAATAATGTCCTGACTATTGAGTTCCCATCCTCTGTGGAGCATGGCCTTTGGGTTCCAAGCCTCTCATTAGATTAAGAGTGGGATTGCACGAATGTGTCTCTAAAGCTTGTTTGTCTTGCCTGTCACTAATGTCGTTGTGCAATACGCATTGCCTGGACGTTTCAAGCACGTGGTTATTTCATGGTGTCAGCTCTTAAATCTTTCTGCTCCAGGAATTTTTAAACAAACTAAAAATAAATTAAAATAAAATAATTAAACACTAATAAATTTAGGTAATTAATTGAATGTATGTATTTTGCACAGTCCTCATGGTGCAATAAGTGTAACCTCCTGTGTCACTGGGTACTGGCCATCCTCAGAGCATGCACTGTTTTCCTGCCTGCAGCACCCGCTCCTCTTCAGTGCCTTGCTGGATTGCCTGGAGCCTCCCAGATGCAAAGGTAATGTAGCATGTTGATAGACTCAATCTCTTGTTCCACAGTGCCATCTGTGCTGCACTCAGGAAGGTATACCCTGTGTAGTGTGGCTGCCACCAGTAGTGACAATCCTAGGCAGGCAGAGCTTTATTTTCACATCACAGGCTAGAATCGAAATAAAGCACACTGTGATCATGAGGGTGCATCCAGCAGTGGCTGCTTCATGGTATTAACAGCTTGGATCCAGGCTCTAACGTTCAGCTTGTGCCCAAAGACGAATCAATGCAACTGTTCTGTTCCAAAATCCCACTGCTAGCAACTCCTGCTCTGTCAGTACATGCTACTCCTGGATCTGCTGGTACTTCACTGGAAAGGGCTGCAAGATGCTGGGTTTTGCTCCTGTGCTCTCATGCCTTAGCTTTTATGCAGCACTGACATTCTTTGAAACAGGAAATCCTCATTTATGGTTTTTAATTGCTTATCTAAAAGTCTCTGGCAAAACCAATCCTGCAAACTCATGTGATTTTCAGAAGAACCTAGAGGGATAGTTGACAATTGTTTTACATTGCTGACTTTCTTTTGAATTACTTGCTCTAGGAGTATGCTTGAAGGCTCTCAGGGTCCAAACCCAAATCAGATATGAAAGGTAGATGCCTGTTTGGTTTTAGCAGGTCCAATAAATCTCATTATTTGTGGAGAAGTTGTCATAATTTGCTGGACTGCTTCTTGGCATATATAGTTGTAATGACTAACAACACTCAAAGATTCATATTGTCTGGTACCTCAGCAAGTATTTGGGGTGGATAAATTTCTGCTTCATCATATTCCTGCTTCTCCTTCTAGCTCTAGATCAGTGCCTTCTGCTTTCTGAAGATGATATTGTAGAGGGATGAAAATCAAGGCATTCAAAGCCCAGCTTTGAGATTCATGAAGATCAAATCCCTCAAAGTTGTATCACCAAAAGAGAACCTTGGATCTGATGACATCTCATTCTAAATATACTATATAAAGTTGATATTATGGATAAGAACTGTAAAAGGTTCACACCTTTCAAACAACCTACAATGCCAATTAAACTTTGCTCAATTTCTTCAGAAGAACGTGCAAATACTTTCTTCTGCACACCTGAATTTAGCGTGAATTTTATACCAAAAGAAAACCACAATAGTTCCCCAAATCTAAGCAAAAAAAAAAAAAAAAAAAAAAAAAAAAAAGGCAAGACACAACAACTTTAGCAGAGTTAAATGAAAAATATTAGTAAGATATATCTGTATTATTTTTTTTTCTTTTTACATGACATTGGTCACATATTTAGAATGGGAATCAGCATTTGACATTTCCTTTAAGAATTGATGGATAAACTATTTTGAGACTATTCTGAAATTGCCCTACTCACTACACTTGGTTTGTGCCTTAGAGTGAGTATATTCTTGAGGCTGGAATTCATATGAATTTACTATCAGCTGATTTAATCTTGTTATGCTATTATTGGCTATATATAATAATATATATATATATATATAATGGCCAGTCTTCGCGAGCGAAGATTTGGGAAAGGTCATTAACCCTTCCAGCCTGCGCAGTGGATTTTTAGGTGAGACACAGCGTGCGCTGAACTGAGCCCACCCTTTAGTCCTGAGGTTCATCTGCCGGGGCCGAGCAAAGCTTGGACAGTGGCAGTGAGGTCCCCAGGATGTAGGTTTGTTTAGAGTGACCTTCTCTTAGGTGGATTGCCTACCAAGGCTGACGAGCTCCACCTGCCCAGGGGGCTGGGAATCGAACCCGGGTCGCAGCGGTGAGAGTCAGACACTCTAACCACTAGACCACCAGAGGCCCCATTGATTTGATAACTGCTGGCTCCTGATTGTTATAATTGTAGTTAATCAACTGACCCAGTTTGGTTTGGTAATTGTATTGTTCAACGTAAGTTTGTTCAACAAAAACTGTAATGGGGTTGTTACTTTTCATATTTATCTCTTCTTCATGTAGTTACCTATCATTTGAATGTTGGAGGTTCTTTCAAAACAGCAGTACAAATCCAAAGAATTAAAATAAAACAGTTACAATTCTTAAGAACTGTAAATTCTGCTCTCCATCAAAACTAAAATTGAAAAATCATTGTCTTAAATTTTGAATTTTATAGTATCTCATTTCTTAATATTTATGGGTTGCTCAGAAAAAAAACCTATAAATAAAAAACCAAACCAAACAAAAAACCCCAAATAAACTCCAAAACAAACCCAGAAAAAATTCCACTCTTATGCTGCTTTCAGTTACAGTACTAATTAACAAAATTTATCAGCTTTTTCAACTTGTCAGGCTTTATTCCTGGCACTGTTATCTCCATTTCTTCTCATCCTCCCCTTTCTCCCTCCTCCTGAGATTGCTGAGAAAAATAACTCACATATTAAAAAGAAAAAAAAATTACCTTCTTTTTCTTATCTTTAATAACCAGAGTTAGTTCTTGCATCCACATTTACTGAGTCCTGAAAGTTTTATTTTTTTTTCCTTGAAAATTTTGTGTTCCCAGTGGCGTGAGTTCTATAACCATCCTAAACTTCTATTGCTTCAGTTTGCTTGTAAACACTGCCTTCCTTAGTAAGAATCTCCTGCAACAGCACTCATCTCTTCATGTATTGCACTCTGGCTAATGAAATATGCTTGTAAAGACAGTCTTGTAAAATTAAACTGAAAACCACAAAGCAGGACACACACTTGTAAATCTAAACTGCCTCTTTGCAAACTGAATGATTTCCTGAGATGATTCTACCATCATGTGCTTTCCAAGAAGGGTTTCTGTACTCCCACCACCTCTGCACTTCCCTCTAAGTTCTGGGCAGACTGATGGAAGATGTGAGTGCCTTCACAGAAATAAGAGAAGAGACTAAAAAGCTGATTCCTCCTCTCTAATGTTAACTGCTTTAAAAATAAAGAAAATCAATACCATTTGTTAAGTACATTTAAAATGCTGTTGATTTTTTTGAACTTTTCCTAACTTCTGTTCCTGTGAAAATATACTAAGCATACTGTTGCAGCAATAATGAATCCAGTTTGTTCACTTAGAAAATACTCCAAAATTATCATTATTCAGAAAACTTAAGTACCTGCTACTTGACAAAGTGTTTTTTCAGTGACAAACTCAGATTTTTCATTTCTGTTTTAGTAACCTGACAGGATT